TTTGATGATTAATACATGGTTTTGTCTTTTCATATCACTTTCTCTTTTACTTGATTTTTATAAATTCAAATGAAAGGTTCTTGATTACTCACATTACTTTCACTCAATTCATGTTAGGGTCATATAAGATAGGAGGTGAAAACTAAGTATGAAAGCCTCTGAGCTAGTGTAAATGTTAATGATTATGTGAGGATTATGCAACCAACTGTTATAGGAATACAAATTCAAAAGAATACAAATTCAAAAGGGAATTTTTAATTAGCTAATCTCTAATAATATCCAGTTTTTTTGGTTAAAATAAAAACTATGTTAGTGCACAAGGTTAATAAATAAAGGAAAAGTAAGAGAGAATATATTTACTGTAATGACAGTAAAAAAAAATTACAAAAGAAATAATACAAATGATTGCTACTACTAGCCTATTTATACAAAAAGTAATCTGTCATGTAGGCCTTAATGAAAGGTAAACTTAATGACTAAGTTAAAAAGTACAAACAAGGAAATACTAAACTTAACAGCTACACAAACAAACTCAGAACCCAGAACCCCATAAGCTAAACATACTTATGGGTGTAACCTCAGAAGCTTCTACTTCTGACTAATAACAACTTCTGATTTTATCAACTAATGTTTCTAACTAAGCAGTCTTAGAAGCTTACAACTTCTAGCTAACAACCTCAAAAGCTCTACTACTTCTGAATAACAACATCTTTTGAATATGAATTACTTCTAACATCATCCCTTAATTCATGTTCAGCTAATTAAAACTCTTCAACACCAATTTTATCCCTCAAACGGATAAAGTGTTCAGTCTTGATATCCTTCGTTAGAACATTGACAAGTTGCTTCTGATTTCTATAATGTGCAACTTCTAATATTTCATTTAGAAGTGCAAATTTATCCTTGATAATCCATCTGACACTGATGTTTTTCTTCTCCTTAGGAAGCTCAATCAACTCCCAAGTCTTATTTCTTTCGATAACATCAAGCTCTTCTTTCATGGCCTTCAGCCACACTTTCTTCTTGAGAGCTTCACAGATTGACATCGCAATCACCACTTGCTTATTGGATCACCAAGAAATAGGACTTTCCAGATACAAACAAAAGTATCTTGGAGTATTTATTCTGTCAACTATGTCTTCATACCAATCAGAGTCTGGATAGCATATCATCTTTGCATCTGATCTAACACTAGAAGGGAATAACACTTCATACCTCAGTCCTTTCAGTATCTTGCAATTTGTCAAACTCTGTAAATCTCCTTAGTATATTTCTAACTCTATGTAGCCTATGAACTTGTTCAAAATCTCCTTCTGATTCTGGAACAATATCTCCTTCTGGACTTTCTTCAGAAGTTTGACTACTACCAGAAACTCCATCTTTGTTAACTTCTAGACTTCGTCCAGAACCACTACCTTCAAAAATACCATCTTCAAAAGTTGGATCGCCTTCAAAAACTCTGCCTTCAGAAGTTCCACTTTCAAAATCATGATCACCGTCAGAGGCTGGGCTACCTTTAGAAGCTCCTCCTTCAGAAGGTCCACCTTCAGAGTCATAATTACCACCAGAAACATGTCATCTCCAGAAGTTTGTCCTCTAGAACTTACGTCTTCTGAGTTTTTCCTTCTAGAAGCATGATCACCACCAGATTCAAAATTTGGATTAGAATCAGATTCACCATCTGACTCATCTTTAGAGTTTGCAAAAGATTCTTCATCTTCTGACTCTAGATCTTCTTCAGAATTTTTAAGTTCTGACTCATCTTCAAAAGCAAAATCTTCTTCAAATTATGACTCATCTTCTGATTTTTCTTCAGACTCAGAATCACCTTCGGATTCTGACTTGTCTTCAGCTTCAGAGTCATCTTCTAATTCTGACTCATCTTTAGAAACCTCAGATTCTGACTCATCTTTAGAATCTTCAGCGTCATATTCTAATTATGACTCATATTCAAACACTTCTCTAGAGTCAGAATATTCAGAGTCATCTTCTTCCCCTTCAGAATCAGAAAATGACAATTTCACAGGTTCCTCATCAGATTCATAAGACATTATTAGCACAGGTTCATCATCAGAATCTCCTTTGGCTATTTTTGCTTCTTCTTTGTTTGACCAACAATCTTTAGCAAAGTGATCAAAATGCTTACAACAGTAACACTGAACCATTATCGTGTCATACTTCTCCTTTCCCTTCTGATTTTTATTTTCATCAGAATAGAAGACTTCTGACTTCTGAGACCTACCATGTTTTCTCTGCTTTTGGTCCTTCTTGACAAAAGAAGCTTTCAGAGCATGCTCAACTTCCCTCTCGGAAGTTCTTTCAGTCAGACGCAACTCTTGCGCCTCTAGACTCCTTTGCATCTCTTCTACTTTCATGGTGTCCAGATCTATAGAATGTTAAATTGCTACAACAATGTAATCAAATTTAGGAGTAAGCAGCCTCAATACATTCTCAATGATTACTTGTTCATAAAAGGTTTCTCCACAAGCTTTCATCTCATTAGTGATCAGAATCACTCTAGAGATGTACTCAGAAACCTTCTCGTTGTTCTTCATTTTGAGATTCTCATATTGCTTTCTGAGAGATTGAAGCTTCACCTTCTTCACTGATGCGTCACCACCGTAACACCAACTCAGTGTATCCCACGCAACCTTCGCCGTTGTTAAATCAACAATTTTCTCAAACACGTTCTCATCCACACACTGATGGATGAATAACAACGCCTTTTGATCTTTCTTCCTTGTATCTCTCTGCGCATTTCTCTGTTCCTCCGTCGCATATGCTATAACTGGAACATAACTATTTGTAACAAGCTCAAGAACATCCTGAGCACTAAACAACACACGCATCTGAATCATCCAACGATTCCAATTTTTTCCATTAAATACTAGAAACTTGGTGCTTAGACTATCATTTCCTATCATCTTTAACCTTGTACAGAACACTCAGATCTCACAAAACAGTGTTTCTCAATCCCACAGAATCAAAAGAATGTGATTCTGTTCAGATTTTGTTCAAGATTCAACACGAATTCAAGAACAAAAATCAATCACACAACACTTCACTGTTTCACTCGTGTTTCCCGTGAATCCAACCGGAGTTCTAGATACCAACTGTTAGTGCACAAGGTTAATAAATGAAGGAAAGGTATGAGAAAATATATTTACTGCAATGACAACTAGAAATCTTACAAAATGAATGATACAAATGATTGCTACTACTAGTCTATTTATACAAAAAGTAAATTGTCACGTATGCCCTAATAAAAGGTAAACTTAATGACTAAGTTAAAAGGTACAAACAAGAAAATACTAAACTTAACAGCTACGCTAACAAACTCAGAATTCCAGAAGCTAAACATACTTTTGGGCGTAACCTCATAAGCTTCTGCTTCTGACTAATAACAACTTCTGATTACATCAAACTACTGCTTCTAACTAAGCAGTCTCAGAAACTTATAGTTTCTAGCTAACAACCTCAAAAACTCTATTGCTTCTGAATAACAATATCTTCTGAATATGAATTACTTCCAACAAAACTACTAAATATGTATACATCAATATAAAGATGACATAGAGAGAATAACTTCAGACCTCGTCCTATGATATAAACACACATAAAATATTTTGGAAGGTTTCTCGTATAAACGTTATCACTCTTGTGATTCAATTTTAGTGGTATGTTACATTTATCTTATTATGACATTAATTACATGCTCAATAAAACGCAAGAACAATTTTGAGTATTTATAAGTTCATCTCATACATGATCATTCAATTACCAACTCATAAATTTGTTATATACTCGCACTATGTTTAACTTCAATATCAAAGTGACTTGAAGAAGAAGTATACGAGAAGTGACTTGAAGATCGACTCGGCAAGTGTGGATTTCATATCACTGATTCAAGTGATCAAGTTGTTTGCTTATACAAAAACACTTAATCTATTGTTTATTTGTATTTAATATATGCGATGAGGCAGAGATAATGTAGGTTTGGAGTGACGCCTAGAGGGGAAACTTTTGTATAAATGTATATTTATATATTTATTTTCATGAATATTTATTTCAGAATGTGTTTCATCTATTAGATAGGTGACACTCGGTGTTGGCTATTAAAATTTTAAATATATATATATATATATATATATTTTCAAAGGATATTATTCTACAAATTACACATAACTTACTCTTTAAAAATTAGTAACTCATAAGAAAAAAATTGTCAAAAAAAAAAAAACTATGATTTAAGTTGTGAATGTTTTGTGCTCTAAGTAATTTCAATCTTATTAACTCATAGTCATTTATCAACATCTTAATAAAATAATTTATTATTCAACTAAGATTAAACCTTTAATTTTTTATAAATGAAAGTAATTAAGAATGATGATTACTTTTAAAATGGATTAAGCTTTCATTTTTCAGAATGAAAAGTAATCCTCACTCATAATTACTTTCATATATGTAAAATACTCTTCTCTTACTCCATTTATTGTGGCCGCACCCCCTAGTAGTTTAATTAGTGACAATGACTAGTGATTGGTTCAGCAGGATTGTGACAGCAACTAGTTTTTTTTTTGTTAATCCAACAAAAAAACCTTGAAACTGCACTATATATATGTTTTTCATTCTTTTCAAACAAACGGCACTCAAACTTGACTCAAAATTCTCCCAAAAAATCCAAACCTTCAACATCGCATTGTGCTTTCTCCCAAAATTCTCGTCAAGGTCATCCAAATATTCTTGTCCTGATTTTTCTCCGCATCCATATTAGGCCCTTCAATCAACACTACACTTTTCTTTCTCTTTTCATTTTTTAATGTTTTTGCATTCATCATTTCTGATTTCTAACCATTTGCATGTCACTATTTCGTTTTTCATACAACTTTTTTTTACTCTGTTTCAAATTTGATCTTATTGATCAACGTTAATCAAAACAAAAAAACACTCAAAATTTCACTCAATTTTATCAATTTTTTTTTTTGTTTTTATCAGCAGCCATGAGATCTTCCGAAAACATTCCAACGTTCAAGATATCACCATCGCAATTCTCATCATCTAGCAGCAGCGATATCATTGAGGTGACGCCTCAATTCCCGATGAGCAACTATCGCTTTGAACACAATCGGCGCTTTGAACCACGTTCAGCATCCAATGGTTCCCATTCCTTCAGAAGGACAAGTGTTCCGGACAACAACCAATCCAATGGACTGATGGGCCCTCCAACAAACAGAGAAACGGGCAACATTTTCTTCAAAACCCGTATTTGTACTAGGTTCCGGTTTGGTGCCTGTAGAAATGGTCAAAATTGTACCTTTGCTCATGGGGTTGATGAGATAAGACGGCCACCACTAAACTGGCAGGAGCTTGTCAGTCCTAGCACTGAAGAACCGCTGAAATTGGGCGGGAATAAGAATGATGATCAAAAAATCATTCAGAAGATGAAGCTCTGCAAGAAGTATTGCAATGGGGAGGAATGTCCTTATGGTGATAAGTGTAACTTTCTTCACGAGGATCCTGCAAAGTTTAGGGACGATTCTTGGAAAACAATAGAGTCCTCTGCAATCAGCATTGGAACTTCTAATCATTTGGAAGGCAGTAGGGCTGGAACTAAGCAGGAAAGGGGCACTTATTGGAAGACTAAGAAATGTCTCAAGTGGGTCAATACCGGGAGTTGTCCCTTTGGTGATGGCTGTCACTTTGCTCATGGCGATGCAGGTAATTGGTCTGGTTTTGGTCTTTTATCATATGATTCTTTTGTTTTGTTCCAAATCTGTTTTTTATTTTTGTGATGATGAGTACAAATTACAGTGTTTAAATGTGTATTGCTTTCCTTGTTGTGTATGATGATGCTTTCCTGTTTAGTTTGCTAGTTGAGCATATTAAATAGAACCAGATATCACCTTCGTGATGATGGTCATTTGGTATATTGCTGCTTTGGTTTAAAAGTAATGGACACTTATTGTATGATTAGTGATTACATTTTTTTCAGTGTCGTCAAATTTCCGTTATTGCTGCGCCATGGCGCTGGGGATTTTGTTGTCTGCCGCCATAGGGCGCGAAACAATGTTTATACAGCTAATGTTTATTTGACTAATTTTTGGCTGTTCCCCGCAATCCGCTTTTGATAGCATTGCTTTATCTAAAGTTTCGTGGCCATGGCAGAATGGTCTGGCCAGTATTTTCAATAGCAGGTTGATAAAATCTTGCTATGCAATGGTGCTATAGTGCCATTATAGTGGCTATTTGACAGTATTTTGTAATAAATAGCGTATCGCGTAGCAGAACAATAGCGGTTTTGCAACCTCCGCTACGTAGCAATAAACGAGGTGGCAGATATTTTTACATCCACCATAAGCAGTTTGTAAAGCGATGTCCACCACGACATGGCCATAGACTGCAATGGCGTGTTTGTATGGTGGATTTTTGGAGTTTGTAAATGTGTTTTTATATTTCGCCATGCAACACGGACAACACTATTACTCCTTATAACTTTATAGCGTCGTCATACTCATATCAGATGATAGTCACATTCTTGCTGTTACACAAGTAGGTACTTTTGGTATGTAACTGTGGTCCAATTATTAAAAACACATTTGTTGTTTTTTACGGTAAAGAATTTCAAATTAAAGTTTTTCTCATTTTTTTTTAATGTTTATATTTTCCCAATTATATTGTACATTCCTATTTTTTTTTCGTAAATATTTTATATTTATCCTACTAATCTTGATTTCTTAGATTTGTTTTATGATTCAAATTTGATATGTGAACATATGTTCTAGTAAATTAGGAAAGATGTCTCCTTGTATATTTGTGTTATATGTTATACTTATTTGGAGGCAGTACATTGTTCATTTGCAAGTTTTAAATTGCAATTATTTTCAATCCTAAATATTGCAATTAAATATGGTTAATGCAGCTGCAATTGCGATGAAGGAGACATCAAAAACCTCAACGTCTTAGCCACAATCATGGTCGTTGATGTTTTTTCTGTCTTGTTCGTTTTTGTGTCATAACTTGTATATGCATACTATGAACAAAAATTAAAAGATGATTATAACAATTGAGACCGTTTGGTTTATGTATCTTCTTGTATCTCATGAAGTGTTTGTGTTTTGCTATTCAGAGTCACAAGTTTCTAGTGGAGGCATTGAAGCTGAAGCTGCAGCTGCCATTTCAACTATACCAACAACAGGTTCTTCTGTCAATTATGCACCTACTACCTTACCAGCAAATGTACCTGCGGCGACGGAAGAGGAGAGGAAGGCCAAGAAGGAATTACTTTGGAAGAAATTAAACAAGATCAACCGTATTTATGGCGATTGGATTGATGATTTACCTCCCGACTTGCCAAGTACAGCGGAGCCCTGAGTTGAATTCTGGGCTCTTGGAAACAGCCCACGTCTGGATGAGGATTCTTCTGGCTCACAAATAATTTTGGAAACATGGTCATGGGCAGTGGTGATCAATTTATATAATTACCTTTTATTGCTTCATTTTACTGGTAATTAGTACATTTTTAAGGTCACAGACGCCTGCATTTGTCAGTTTAAGGGGTGTTTCGATGAATTCAACAACTTTTTGTGGGAGTCTAGGTTGGAACATGGGTCAAATTTCTGAAGCAAAGGCCATATTTTAAATAGGCTATATATCATACCTATACTATATATTTACATTCATATATGAAAGTGTGATTAGCATATCTGTGTTGTTTATAGATATCATATCATAAATTGGCAATTTGAATTTTTTTCCCCTATGGCTATATTATAGAAACAGGTAATTTTTAAGAATTGATTGTTTTTCTCAACATTTTTTTTAAACAACACAAGAAAATAAAGAAAGATACAAATGATCCATTATTCAAATTTAATTTTGGGGATCTTTTGTTTGGAGATTTACTTATTTGAGGGCTCATTAATATTAAGAATTCTTTTCTGCCAAGTATGAGAATCATGAGAGTCAGGGTCAAGTTTTGATGAGTCATATAAATTAGAAGTTACTATATTCATTTTAAGGAGTTTTTGATGGGTCAGAAAATTAATAGTAATGAGTGTTGGATTCAACTCTTGTCGACAAGTGGCAGCGAAAGTATTGGAATAGAAAATCTGAATATTATTATTATTCATTGAATAAAATCAAATAGAAAAGTTCAGGGCATATATACATAATATAGTAACCGTTACAAATAAGAAATTGGCCGCGAAATAAAAGGGATCCAGGGAAAGTTATATGGATTTAGAAGGCATGAACTTAAACATGTTAACACCCCCCTCAAGTTGGAGTGGATGTTCAACAATCCTAATTTGGATACACAAGAGTTGAAAGGACCAAGATGAAGAGATTTTGTGAACATGTCAGTGGCCTGATTTTCAGAATCGATAGGCATAAGGTGAATAATTTTCCTTTGTAGCTTGTCACACACAAGATGTCAATCCATCTCAATGTGTTTTGTGTGTTTGTGAAATATAGGGTTGGAGGCAATGTAAATGACACTTTTGTTATCGCAATAAATGGTGACGGGTGAGGGATGAAGAATACAAAAATCTTGTAGGAGATAAAGTAACCACTGAGCTTTACAAGAAGTATTGGCAAGAGCTCGGTATTATGCTTCTGAAGAAGAACGAGATATGGCAGGCTGCTTCTTTGTTTTCCAGCTGATAAGATTGTTTCCCAGGAAGAAACAAAATTCAGTTGTAGATCTCAGTGTTGTTGAGCACGCACCCCAATCAGAGTCAGTGAATCCAGTTAGAGTGAATGTGGAGTTGCGTTTGAAGAAGAGGCCAAGAGCAGGAGCATTTTTTAGGAAACGAGTGATATGTTGGGCAGTAGTAAAGTGTGTCTGTGTTGGCTTTGCAAGGAATTGACTCAACTTGCAAACAGAGAAAGCAATATCAGGTCGAGAGTGAGTGAGATATAGGAGCTTACCAATGACACTTTTGAATTTGGAGGGGTCTGTTAGTGGAGCTTCATTGGGATTATGAAGTTGAGATCCTGGTTCAAGAGGTGTTGATGCAGGTTTTGCTGCAAGTAGTCCAGTCTCTTGTAGCAAATCAAGACAATACTTTCTTTGGCAAAGTGCAATTCCCTTTGAAGAGTGAGTGATTTAAAAACCTAAAAAATATCTTAATAATTCCAAGTCTTTGATGTTGAACATCTTATCCAAGATATGCTTGATGAGATTAATTGCAGACATAGTGTTACATGCAATGATTAAATCGTCTACATAGACTAATATGACAGTAAAGCAGTTATTTATATACTTTAGTAAATAAAGAATAGTCAGATTTGGATTAAGAGTACACCATTTGGATTAATGTGGAAGTTAACTTATGATTCCATTGAAGACTTGTTTGCTTGAGGCCATAGATAGATTTTCTGAGCATGCAGACCATGTTAGAAAGGAATTTCATACCAGGAGGAGGTTTCATGTAAACTTCTTCTTCAAGATCTCCATGAAGGAAGGTCGTGTTGATGTCAAATTGATGAATGTGCCAGTTGTAAGAGACATCAATAGAGAGAAGTTGTATGGTAGTCATTTTGATGACAGGGCTAAAAGTTTCAAGGTAATCAAGGCCTTCAGTTTGGTTGAAGCCTTTTGCCACTAGACACGCTTTGTATCATTCAATAGTGACATTAAGAGAAAAGTTGAGTTTAAAGATCCATTTGCTTCCTATGGCCTTTTTGTTAGGGGGTTAAGATCATTGCCCCACCAGAAAATAGGTTTTTTTTATCACAAATGATCCTTCGTATGTAGGAGTCTATTTTCCCCTGGGATCACCTTGTGGCAATATGATATGTTTGATTACCAAGTCACCAACCTGATATACCTGACGTCTGACTTTCTTGTTAAAAGCTTTAATAATACGTTTTTGGTATATCTGACCATGGCCGACAACCGTAAGCCTCTTCTCATCAATCAAGTTTAGTTGGTCAAGTCGAGTTTAAATCCATTCATCTTCATTCAACACCACATCCTTTATGACTCTCAAAGAAGGTATTTGGACTTCAATTGGCAAGACAACTTCCATGCCGTATACCAAAGAGAAAGGAGTTTCCCCTGTTGATGTGCGCGCCGTGTTACGGTAATTGTGAAGAGAAAATGGTAACATCTCATGCCAATCTTTGTAGGTCACTGTCATCTTTTGTATGATCTTCTTGATGTTTTTATTAGCGGCTTCTACAACGTCATTCATCTTCGGTCGGTAAGGAGAAGAGTTATGATTCTGGATCTTGAATTGCACGCATAGTGCATTGATCATATTATTGTTGAGATTGGTACCATTATCTGTAATGATTTTCTCTGGAATACCATACCGACGGATAAGATTATGTTTGATGAATCGGGCCACAACATTCTTGGTGACAGAAGCGAAGGAAGCTGCCTCAACCCACTTTGTGAAGTAATCAATGGCAACCAAGATGAAGTGGTGTCCATTAGAAGTTGTGGGTTTGATCTCTCCAATCATGTCAATGCCCTATATTGCGAATGGCCAAGGAGCAGTCAGAACGTTTAGAGGAACTGGAGGCACTTGTACTTTGTTAGCATAGATATGACACTTGTGACAGGTTCGTGAATGTTGATGATAATCGACCTCCATGGTGGACCAATAGTATCCTGCCCGTAGGATCTTTTTAGCCATCGTGTGCCCACTAGAATGGGTTCCAAAAGTGCCTTCGTGTAAATCGGCCATGATCTTGTCTGCCTCACTCTTGTCTACACACCGAAGCAAAGTAGAGTCACGGTTGCGCTTATAGAGAATCCCATTACTGAGGGAGAACTTAGCAGAGAATCTTCTCAGGAATTTCTTTTCATTGACTGAAGCTCCTTCCGGATACTCTCGGGCTTCGAGATATCTCTTAATTTCATGGAACCAAAGTTTGTCCACTACTTCATCAATATCGATCTCGTGACAGTAAGTTGGTTCGTCCATTCTCTCGATGGTGATCTGAGGAGCCTCATTATCTCACTTGATTTCTAACATGGATGACATGGTTGCTAGGGCGTCTGCTAGTTGATTTTCCACTCGTGGAAAATGCTCAAAGTTAATTTCCTCAAAATGTGGGATTAATGTCAACACATGTTCTTTGTAAGGGATGAGATTAGGATGCTTCATGTCCCGTTCTCCTTTGATTTGGCTGATGACTAAGGCTGAGTCTCCAAATACACTTAAGAACTTAATTCCCAAATCTATGACAGCTTTGAGACCCATTATACACGCTTCATATTCCACCATATTATTGGTACAATTGAAACATAATCTAGCAGTGAAGGGAGTATGGCATCCTTAAGGGGATATGATCACATCGCCTATGCCGTTTCCGAGTGCGTTGGAAGCTCCGTCAAAAACCATGGTCCATCAGGATCCTTGTTCAGGTCTGTCATATGGTCTAAGTTCTTCATAATTGTTTACCAACATGATGTCTTCGTCCAGAAATTCAAAATTCATGGATTGATAGCCATCCATAGCCTGATGAGCAAGGTGATTGGCTAACACACTTCCCTTTATTGTTTTCTGGGTAGTGTATTGAATATCGTATTCAGTCAGGACCATCTGCATCTTTCTATTCTCCCAGAGAGGGAAGGTTTCTCGAATATGTATTTAATTGGATCCATCTTGGATATCAATAAGGTAGTATGGGTCAACATGTAATGTCTTATCCGGTGAGAAGCCCATGCCAGAGTGCAACAAGTTTTCTCGAGCAGTGAATATCTGGTTTCACAATCGGTAAACTTTTTGCTCAGATAGTATATTGCATGCTCTTTTCGTCCAGACTCGTCATGCTGCCCCTGTACACACCCCCATTGAATTTTCCAAGACAGTTAGATACATGACCAAAGGTCTTCCCTCGACTGGCGGCATCAAAATGGGAGGATCTTGAAGGTACTCTTTGATCCTGTCAAAAGCGGCTTGGCAGTCGTCGTTCCATTCCACCACTTGATCTTTCTTCAGTAATTTGAAGATTGGTTCACAAGTAGCGGTTAGGTGAGAAATGAATCGGGCGATATAGTTTAATTGGCCCAAGAACCCCCTAACTTCCTTCTCAATGCGAGGAGCAGTCATTTCTTGTATTGCTTTTACCTTTGCAGGGCCCACTTTGATACCTTTGCCACTGACGGTGAAGCCTAAGAGTTTGTCGGACCTCACTCCAAAAGTGCATTTATTCGGGTTTAGCCTTAGTTTGTATTTCTTCAGTCTTTCGAACAGTTTCTGCAGATGGTCAAGGTGTTCCTCTTCAGTTTGAGATCTGGCTATCATGTCATTCACATCGACCTCTATTTCATGATGGATCATGTCGTGAAATAGAGCTACCATGGCACGCTGATAGGTTTCCCAGTTTTCTTCAACCCGAATGGCATAACCTTGTAA